CTGTCCAGAAGCATTTGGAAGGAAGAACAAATACCAAGAGACTGATAATAATCAATCCTCATCAAGATACCTGAGAATTGAGATTACAGGAAACTTGATTACTGTAGGAAAGTCAGTACAATCTCACAACTAGAAAAAGACAAACTGAAACCATGCACATGGAGGAAAGCTTACAGACTCATTTCAAGTGAAGGCTGATGTCTGAAAGCGTTACTTCCTTTTAGCCATTCCTTTCCTCCCGATGGTCCACTGGATTATGAAAACATTAACATCTTGGTAGAAGTACAGAATCTAGTGGACGACCTGGGTGCAGGTGGAATATGCGGACCACACAAATGATCTATCTTAAGGACATTTTCCTATGGACATAAAAATGTACATTTTAATCATGTTTATGATCGTCCTTTATTAGTAGCACGTTCATCTAACCGCTTATGTGACCGTGTATAGAAATATGAACTTACTCTTTCATTTTCACCGTTGGATAATCTATCACAGCTTGTTTAAACCCACTTCGATTGACAATTGTCAACAAATTTACTCCGCAATTATACAAAGCTTTCAAGAACTGCACAGTCTGCCTTCCTTAGTTGTGTTCACTTATTGAAAATACGACCGCGCGAAACTGTTCTTGTCAGTAACACAGTGTTCATGTTCTGTAGGAAACAGACCCTCATTTCTTATCTAATTTCTCTAAACTTTACAGTTAAGGTAGTAGCAGATGTAAGAGTTTGATCTAGCCTGTAAAGTAGCATGCCTCTTCTAACACGCTGTTATATGCGAATGACTATGTTATTGCGATTGTGATTATACCTACTTTACAGTGAGCAGTAATGCTCTCTGACGTTCCTTCCACGCACAATTCCATGCACTTACATTCATTATTTGACGAGAGACATACGAACGGAAGATCAGTCTAAATAAATTATTCGAATAACAGAATAATGGATAATTGAAATAGGCATCACAAACCTTTGTTCATTGTGTATCTACCAGGGGTATTTCCTAATGTAATTCTTTTGATCTCTTGCCACTTCATCTTGTTATATATACCCGAACGCTGTAACTAGGATATTATTATGAATCGAACTACATCGAACGTATATTTGAACAAAGATTACTATCAATACCAACGATTGCTCGAACGGAATATTGACAGTAATATAATTGAAAACGAGAAGGCACAGACTATTGGTGTCCTGGAAGATTTTTCCAGTAGTAGAACCGTACAAATCCCGAAACACGGAGGTCCAGCTCATTTTAGGCTACAACGGGACGTGATTTCTCTGTTTAGCGTGTCCAAATGCGTTTACTCGCCTTGCCGCCTTCGTCGAGTGGGCTAATTTGGTTTTTGCTTGGTTGGAGTGATCGTGTCGATTCATATGCGTGCGTGCGCTTAACATATGTAAAAACAGATCTGCCTTGATCGTGTCGGGCGATTCGTGATGCAAACTGCGGTTATGAGTTTTGATGTGATGTGCACCGCATTTTGAGGACCATGTCAGACAGAAAGTTACATTGAGGTGGTGCATAAGTCTAATGTAAATGCTGGTTTCGTTCGATGAGCTCAGTCAGAACAGAACACTATCCGTTAACAGACAGTGATACATAAATGCTATATCACAGGAGTCCTATGTAACCAATGAAAATATCACAACTCCATGTGCAAATAGACAAAACATGACTGCCTAAATAGGAAGTCGCAGGTTCGCACTGCTGATGAGTCCCATAACAGGACCAAACGGCCCTCCTGTGTTTTCACTTTTCCAATGTTGTTTAATATTGATCGATTTACGATTTTAAATGTGTAACATTTCTAATAAACAATAGTTTGAGTATGTGACGTCATCATGTCGACGGTGCTTGCCTAGTTGGGACAATCTTGACCATGCGATTATGGAAAGCCCGTGCAGTTTGTTTGCGTTATTTGGTGTGAAGACACATTATTGATTGAAACCCAATGCGAACAGAAAATTTTTTTGAAATACTTTTTTCTATTTAGTAAGTGTTCGATCTCTGGAAGAAATCTATATTAGGAACTCTTGTGCCGATTGATTCGATTATCAGTTCACAGCCATGTTCCAAGTTTCAATAGATCACTATCGAGAAAATTATTCAACTAAAAAGAACCAACATTTACAACTGAAGACAGCGGACGTACTAGTCAGTGATATCCTTATCATCAAATAGAGTTGATATCGCGACATGTGAAAACAACCGAAAAATCATGGCTTCTGATATTTCTTTAGATGATATTATTTCCGCAGTCTTAGGAATAAGTCGATTTTAAGTCAGGTTTATATATCGTAAAATAGATATCCCTATCTAATCATTTATTGTTGTTTAAGCAAATAAAAACAAGTGCCTAAGAATAATAACGCTTAATTTAGAATCTCGTGATATTTCTGATAATTAAGCAAATGAAGTGTGTTAAGATCAAAGTGCTATGTTTTATCAATCAAGTGCAATTAATAACACTCAACTAAGTGATATGCTGAAAAAAATAATGCAAACTAAACACCATAGTGTATTCGTTATGAAGTTTGTGAAAAGTATTAGTGATGACTGCTCTCAAAAGTCAAGGACAGTTGAATCTAGTTCTGCTTGATATGAAATTGTCTGAATCCTTAGTATTGACGATAATCAACAAATGGCAAAGTTTTTCAGAGATGATTTATGCAATCAATTAAGTATCGAATTTGTATTTGCAAAAGGATATCACTTAGCTTATGCGAATATGATTGTCACTATTCAGTACCTGTCTATTTCCAGAATCCCCGTATCAATTAGTATTTTTTTTGAGTTATTAATGTCATCACATTTACGATATTCGCCTACGTCTGGCAATTTCGACAATGTGGTAATAGAACACCATGCAGTTTGTTTGTGTGTTTTGGTGTGAAGACTGTTTGCTGATTGAAACAAAATTGTAAACTAAGTCATTTGCCTATATTTTATCAAATATGATACAAGTGCAGACGAAGATTCATTCAGTTGAACATTTTGTCAGTCTATTGGATTCCATTTGGGATTGTAATATTTGTATTTTATTTCTGTTTCTATTTCTTTTACCTACACTGGGTTTATATATTTCTTTCTGAACTGCATTATGTGTTTTGAGCTGATACTTAGTCACGGCGACAGCCATATTGGTTTGTTTCTCTTTGTGACTGTGTTGCTTGCATGGACTGGAATAGTGCATCTTGATTGTGGATTGAAGCACTCTTCCAGAACTGAATACACTCTGTGTTACAAAGCAACCGAATATTATCCGTCGAATGAATCTGATGTGTACAGAAGGGATTTAATTGAACAACTGTTAAAGGAATAACTAAGTGGTAATATTTGTTTAGGTAATGATGTAAATTTATATTTATGATGAATATTAGAGCCGTCATTTACCCAAACCAATTGTTTTGATTCCAACTGGGCAGGGTGTGTATCTAAACTACCTGAACATTTATTCATCAATCCAAACCCGTGTTTGCATCCTTCACCTGGTAGCCCTTATGATGCTTCTCGGAAACTCGCTTGTGTAGCAATAGCGTTGAATCCTAGGGCAGAACTAGCTCTACTGGACTGGATTACTCAAATTGGTGTTTGTGCGCTCTCCGAATGAACGGGACATTGGGGACTCGTGAAAAGTCGGACAATAACTGGTAAAATCGGTTGTAATGATGAATGTTTCGATTCAACCAATCGCGTGTTTTTCGTAAAAGTCGAGTCGTTATGATATTACCGTTCAGTAGAGAGAACACAGAAATTTCCAATCGCAAATTACATAAAGATTCTATTATCACTGGACATTCTCTGTGAGATATTGGATTAAGCTAAATTTGCTCTATACATATATATATATATATATATATATATATATATATATATATACATATATATATATATAAATATTTATTTATATATAATAATTGAAAGTGAGTTTTTATGTCATCACATATCATCGACCATATTCTCCTTCTTGGGACAATCTTGACAATGTGTTGATGTGACTATTCTTGTATCCATTATGATACAAATGTAAACTAAAATTGTGTGCATTATAAAACTGATAATAACTGACAAGCCTTCTCTTAGTTTACTTCGTCACTTGCTGTGTGTTTTGGTCGGTAGTTGGTGACTATTATATCTCATATCAGATAGTTATTTGAGTGGAACTATGTAATGTAGTTTGAAGTTAACTTTTCTTTTGAAATTCCCTTCTCTCTGTTTTCGAAAATGGAAGGTATAAACGTCGATTGAAATTTATGATGTGAAGTAATGAATGAGTGAACAATTATACAACTAGCAGTATGAACAAGGTGGCAACCATGCCGGCGGAAAGAGTGCGTACAGAAATACAAATAAATCAGAAGTACAGTAAAACAATCACTGGTAAAGTCGGTTGTAATGATGAATGTTTCTATTCAACCAATCGCGTTTTTTTCGTAAAAGTGGAGTCCTTATCAGATTTAATTTCAATAGAGAGGACGCAGAATTTTCGAATCCCAAAATACTTAAAGATTCTATCAACATCGGACATTCTCTGTGAGATATTGGATTAACCTAAATTCGATATATATATCTTACCACTGATATGATAAATGAAATAAGAAAAGCATCCTGCAGTTTACATTGGGAGGGTAGAACAGAATTACGAATTAATAATTTTGAAATGACAAATCAACTCAATGAGAATGTGTGATTCTTGGTTTTTATCGAGTTTCGATAAAACAATCATCGAGAAAACTTGTAATATTGAATTTCTGTTAGTAGAAAAGGAAGTGTATTGATCAGGTCTCATGGTGCAGATGTATTTTACAAGCTGCACTTTCCACTGCCGTGAGGTTGTTCTGAAGTTCACCTATGGATGTCAAACAAACGCTTGCATGTAGGTGAGGAAGCGTACTGTTAAACGAGTGGTTATAGCGATTTGCAAGATAACTTTATTGTATCGACTTATCACATCCCAACGAGTGACACATCAAAAAATGAGATGGACAAAACCTCGCAAAGATAATCGTTAGTTTTGACTATATTTATGCAACAATTACCAACAATATCAGCTTGTTAAATTTTCATTGTTCACAATTAAGACCTGCAAGTTGAATTATTTTTTAACTATTTCAATTTCAACAAGCACATCTTCAGTCCATACACCAGTTGGCAGGTACACATGCAACATATTTTCCTTCATTTCACTAGTCAAATTATCTGGTTTCATAGTTATTGAAAATCCATCTGGGTAATGTACAGGTATGGGAAGGTAAATTTCTGCAACTAGAATTTTCTGCTTCTCACCATACTGCTGATTCGATTGGTTTGTAATAAACGAGAACTGGAACTTTCCGGTTTTATGATCAAAATGTTGTTTTCGAAATGTCCCATGTGTTGACTGTGGATAAGGTCGAATGAATGATTTCACCTGGGAGGGAAAAGGTTGAGATAGATGAACAGTTAGAAATAGTGAATTGGTTCATACTAGTTAACAGCTAGTTGAATTATTTGTGAATAAACAAGTCATTGTTCAGCTTCTGATCTTCACAAGAGGCTTCTGTATTTTATGAACGTTGTTGAACATTTTCATAGAGTAAGTCTTGTCACATTGATGGTTAGAGCTCAGTCCATGGTAGACAGCTGAGAAGCCTCTTTGGACTGATACAGTTAGGCTTATATGGCACACTACATGTGACTTTGATCGGTGGCAGCCAACTTACTATTGATGAATACCAGCACGAAACGGATGTTATAGAATCATTCACAACCAATAAAATGTGAAAACTGCCTGTGACATTTCGGAGATCTGTACTCACTGTAGCAAATCTTCACTTCAGCTCACAGATGCAAACGGTTTTCAAGCAAACTTATTCATTCAACACTTATCCATAAAATAGATGGAATTGATTCTAGTGAGTGAATTGCATTTTCTAAACATTGTATTTCAGTTTTCAAGCTTTTGATTTCATTCAAAAACAGTAGTCATGTTCAATGAATTTGTTACAACCCTGAATTTTGACTGAAAAGATAATTCAACAATGAAGTTTGGAATATCTTTACCTGAGATTCTATAGGATTTCCTACATCATCAAGAAAGTTTCCACTCCAATATGTCCATGATTCAAAATGTTGGTCAGCTTCATCTAGCACTGCATTACATTCAACTGTATTTATACTATACGGATTTCCATCATCTCCGCATCGACCAAATTCAGTTAAGAATCTGCCTCCTCCAGTTTTCTCTGGTGCTTTCTTCGCATTAGAAATGACAGTCGGTAAAAGGAACTAAACATAATTTGAAAGATAAATAATAAAAATCACCATGAATACTTTCAACTCTGCATTATCAAAATTGTTTCTGGTTTAGGTGGTTGGTAGAGATCACAACATTTTTCTCATTAGATAACCTTGTTATTGATACAACTAACTAAATCTTATAAAATCACGACAGGACAATGAAATAGTTAGATTGATGTTGCTTATTGATGGTACAAGAGCAGCAAATATTATATAATAGCTCAGTATTATGAATTAAATGAAGTGAGGATAATAATAACTCCGCCTGTATACCCATCAGTTGAAAATGTTCTCTGCAAGTAAATTGTTAGCATTACGGTTCCGAACGTACTGTACCTCGTTCATTCGGGTGGAAACCTTTCTGAAATGAATGAAGCTGGTCCATAAGTGGTGTTCACGAACGACTTTAAGACGACTGCCACAGCGACTATCAACAAATATCTACTTTGAAAAAGAACAAACCAGATCGTTGTTCAGAAGAAAATACGGAAGCATTGCTAGAAGTGGATGGGACAAATGTTGAGGAAAGCACTCAAGTCGGTCACAACGCCAATTCTCACTTGCAAACACCGTGGCAGAAACAAATGTCGGAAGACAAATTATCACGTCTCGTGATGAAAGCTGAGTTCCATCAGAAGTTATGACTGACAACCAGAGCGTCTATTCATTTAAGTACATGGAACGTTTAAACATTGTGGGAGAGTGGAAGACTTTGACAAGCTGCTGCAGAAATGAAAACATAGAACCTGTAGGTGTTTGTAATCCGTGAAACGCATTGAACTCAAGTTGAACAACTGAGACCAGCTTCAGCAGAAATGCTGATATACTCTGGTAATGTAGAAGAAAAGGTTTCAGATGCACAAAAAAGTGAAACTAAATGGAACCGAAATTCGAGAAACACTGTACAATGGGGCGGACAACAGCACAAATGTTTGATAGGACGTTTCTTCAGAACACTGGATAGCTCAACAAATTTAAGATGGCACTCATAATTAGGCTCCAGGACCTGCAAGATCTTATCAGTTTAGAAGCAACGACATGAAGCACCATGAGAAAGGGATCAAGGAGGCGGTCTCTTCAACACAGAGGTTATGAGCAATACGAAGTACCATTACAAAAAAAGATCTCTGTTCGTACTTTTGAAAAAATTGAAGAAATTAGGAACAGGCAGACAGTAATAAGCATCAACGGAACGAGTGCAGAGAAAGTCACAGACCAAAAAATTGCAAGAGCAGATTTGAAGGCACGGATTGGCAATGCGACAGCTGCATTTCTAAATTTGAAAAATATCTCGAACTCCTAACAAATATCAATCAACACCAAAACCACGATTTTCAATACAAATGTCAAGAAAATTCTACTGTATGGAGCGGAAACTTGGAGAATCAATATTTATTACCAGTGGTTTACTCAAAATACTTCGGATACGTTGGCCATACACCATCAGCAACAACTCAATATGGGAGAGAATAAAGAAGATTCCAATGGACAAGGAAATCAAGAAGAAGCGGTTGAGGTGGATAGGACACACTGCAAAAAGAACACAACTACATTAGAAGATTAGCCTTCTCTTGAAACCCTCAAAGTGAAACGAGACGAGGAAGACCAAAGAACACATTGCGCGGAGTAATAGAGAAGGACATGAAAAAATGAACAAAAATTGGAAAGAGTGGAAAAGGAAGCTCAGAAAAAATTTGGTTGGAAGAAACCAGTCGGCGTCTTATGCTTCATTGGTGGTAAAAGGCGTAAGTCAAGTCAATTCAAGAGGGTATGTTTTTTCTGCAATTGAAAATTCACGCACTAATATTGCTGATTTAAATCGCGACAGTTTTGTTGATCGTATTCATGGGCGATTTTCCAGTTACATCTTATAAAGAAATACTTGTCTTGTGATTCTGGTAGTCAATGTTTGCCCAATCAATCTATGTTTATGTTGTAAATAATAAAATTCGACAATATTTGAAATCTTTTATACTGGTGATGATCAGTCTATAACAACACCAACGCTTTCTCAAATGATGGCTCAGTGTAGCTTGAATATGCTAGTGTTGTGCGAACGAGTCAATGATCACTCTCTAAACTCTAGTGAAAAGCGTGTGACTTCTTACATGCAAATGGATTTCCTGAAATCTTTGGTATGGAATGTGATACTTAACTGTCAACACACTTGAATCTCTTCTCAAAATATCATAAATGCTTGTTGCGAGATAATCATGCATATGGTACACGAAATAGAATCAACATTGTGACAGATTTATCAGTGAATGCTCACCAACCAACTCTCATCTGAGATGTTGAATGAATTTCGCCAACGAGTTGAATCAGTGTCACTTAGCAAGTATTCTGTTTGTCTATCTACTGGCATCATCAAATAATTGACACGAGCAATGTAGCATCCTAAGTCAATCATGGTACAGCAATGGGAGAGAGGAGTCGAGACAACACTGAAACCGAAACAGTTAGATACATTATATCAGGTGTGGATGAGCAAATGTTTACAAAGCAGCGCAAGCAAAAACTAAGTGCAGAGATCAAACTTGGAATTTACCGAGTCACACAAGACTTTCTTCCAAAACGGCATTGTAGAATTATTGTTATCAGTTCGCAGTATCCAACAATAATAATGATAAGATAGGACACTTTTATTTGGTGAGGATTTATCACGATGGGCTCCAGGAACACGTTGAAATCCAGTACCTGACCATCCTTCGGCACTTAGCGGAGTAAATATCCCATATGTAACTGGTTCATAAAATATCAGTGTTGAATTGTCATATTTACGAATCCTCTCCACAAGATAATCGTAAACTGGTTGTAGATTATATCGACCAGCATAACCTGAAACCAGAAAATCCATCATGTTACCTCAGTCGAGTTTACAATCTCAAGTTCTTAATTGTGTCAAGAATATAAAATCTCATTATCGTGTTAAATAGTTGTGTATCGTCAATTATAGAAAAAATAGATTGTTATTATTCTAGAAGACGAGGAAATTGTTACCCTGAACATGAAGCAGCTTGAAGTGATATCATATCATCCAAGTAAATTGTTGAAACAGGCAAAGTGCTTCGATTGGATGAACCTTGAAAGTCTAAAGCACTAAGTGACCGAATAAATACATACTTTCGTGCATTTCTATATCAGGATAAACGTAATCAAGCATGAAATGTAATTCTTTTACGATATTTAGATCTCAATGAACAAAGAATTATAAAATTTATTGTTAAATGTGATCGTTTGATAGCAATTTAACTTGTTCACAAATACCGATCATCTCCATGAACTTCAAATCAGAGATTTATTAATCTATCCACTAAACAGACATAAACATTTTCAAATAGGCTTAAACAGAAATTTATTCGCATGAATTCTCAAGCTAAGACTATCAGTTTAAATAAGATGAACACGAGAAGTACTACTTTACCTGGAAATCCGCGTAATGGATTAGTATAAAAGTTTCCAGGTGGAGGTTCATTAATCAATTCATAACCAAGTACATTTGACTTTTTTCCAAACTTTCTTGCTACGATTTCCCAAAAGTCACCCCAGTGATTCCAAGCACCCGACACATTCTGGTATAACTGCTGGGCTGTATAAGCACACTCGTATGTTAAGTAAAAAGCCCCAAACCATGTTGGTGACTTTTTATAGGGCCAAGGATATTGAAAAAATTTTGATGGTCTTTCAAACTGATCGACTATCCAGAATGGTATTCCATCGTAAGAATCATAACGGCTAGATAATCCATCTTGATGCATATCCAATATTACATAGATTCCATGATTAGCGTATAAATCGACCAGCCTTTCAATTTGATTCAAATATGTAGTGTTTACAATTGATATATTTGGCCTGACTCCACTCCACATCACACCTAATCGAACGACATTCAAACCCCAATTATGGAACATCTGTATTTGTGTGCTATTCAGCGAATCTACTTCATACCATGGGAAAGATTTTCGAACGTTGTTGAACCCTCTAAATAGTTTGATGAATCCTCTAGAATCGGTGAACATTCCATGTTGATTTAATTGAATTTTACTGAGATGAAGAGGTTCTGTATGAACTAATGACCAAAACACGAATATGAAACTGATAGATGACCACATGAGAAAATGAATTTGTCTGGTTACAATGAAGGTTATATTTGCTGTCATACAAAAAGAATACAGGTTGAATATTTCAATTCAATTGATGAAAATAATTTCAATGAACTCAATGAATTGTGCTATATGCATAAATATGTCAGTTTATGAATGTATATGTATAACAGTGAATGTATATGCAAAGACAGACCTATATATATGCATGCATATATATATATATATACAGAGGCTTAGTAACCTGCAGAAACCCTAATTATGCTATTTGTGTCTATACACTGAGTGGTAAGGTTTGATTCTTATACTGATAACATTGCAAGTGTACGGTTGCTTTCAAAGTGTGAATGTGTTATCATGATGAATAAATATATCAATAGGTGTTCAAAATGTATTATCGCGATTGAATAACTATATTGCATATCGAAACATATTGCATTTAAGTAGTATCGGGTTGAACTCGGTAAAATACATATACTAAACATATGTCCCGCTAAGCTAAATAGTTTAGGGTGTCTTGAGTATAGGAGTTACTTTGACCTACGTGGGTGTGGCACGAGGATTGAGGAGGGGGGGCTTTTCAAGTAAATTACTGACATTTACAGGAGGGGTTGTTAGCCCGGAGGAAATGGGGAGATCGTTGCTTGTTTGAGATCGTGAGAGGGGAGTGCTTTTATGCTCTGCATGTGGTATGTAATGACTTGATCGACATGTCACGCAAGAGGTACTACAAGCGGCTGAATCCCATAAAAACTTTGAGTAGGCTGGCATTGCAGTGCACCATTGTTTCTAGTAAAGTCTTGATGACGCAACTCGTTACTAAGGCTATATTTATTCGGAATGGTGTTAACTTGAGGAGAGTGAGTTTTTATTATGAGCGTTTCTGCGAATAAGAGCCTGGTTATCAAAGATAGGGTGTGGGGTGAAAAATCTTCTACTTCCACCAGCACTAATAACTCAACGGTTTGATGTTTTGTGCAGTGTACCTAGCTCTTGGATAATTATTATTTTTGTGCATGATCAGATGTTGGTCTGACATGTTCTTATTATTATCAGTCTTAAAACTCGGACAGACTAGCGTTACATCATATGATAATAAAAGGTGAACCTGTTCATCGTAGCTGTGAAAGTCTGTGGTAATCGGGTTTTCATCCTACCTATTTCATTATTTGGGGCCCAAGATTTGGTCTGTGCATCTTTATCAGTTGAAGATGGAGAGTGTTTTGATCCTTAGGACGTGTTTTTCGAGTACTCTGTTGTAATATATTTTAGAGATCTAGTCTTCAATTTATTAATCTAAGCTGGAATTGTGTTGCTTTTTGGGATATATTGAACTAATTTAACGTTCGAACAGCCTGGACTAGAAGTTCAGGTGTTGTTAGACTTTTCGATGACAGTCGGGATTCGTAATTTATTTAAAAATATAGAGTCCATAGACTCATTTCCCCTTGTAGAATCAATTTTGAATGTTTTCTTTGGTAAATCCCTCCATGTATATATATTTGTGTTATGATATGACTGACTCTTTCTGTCGACATTTTTGTACTTTATTTGATTCCATTTTGAGATTTTATCATTGTATATTTTTATTATATCCATATTTCGTACTTTTATTGAAGTTTTTATGTTTGCTTCTGAACTGTACACATGTTGTTTAAATTTGATATTTAATATGGCTACAGCCATATTTGGATTTGATACCGAGGCAGTTAATACTAGTATCACTTATTCTTTTGGATTTGGATACCCATCAGGGTAATTTGGACTTGGAAGGTGTATTAATTGTCAAGTAACTGATTGTATTTCCATTTCATTATAAAAATAGACCGCTTTCTCCTAGAATTATTGTGTTCTGATATTGGACTGGGGGATAGCGCGTTCGACATACACCTACTGGAATCAAAGTGAACTGCCAGGGTAGAAAATTCATCTTCAGTCTGACAATTAAGAAGAACAAGGAAACATTTGGAATTTTAATCGTTTACAATATTGAACTTCTTGGAAGAAGATTTTTGGATTACTTATCTTTTTTTTGATCAAACTGTATTTTGGAAGGGGATCTTCTGAATTTTTTGGATTTTCATTGACGGAGATTTACTGGTGTAACTTTCATATTTCGTATTTGTCATTTATTTCCCGTTGGATTTCAATTAATTATGAGCTCTCGAAAGAAAACAAACACGAAGAGGGTGGAAGCGCATGAAGAATCCCAAAATGCTAGGCAAGTCGTTTACAACATTTCATATTTAATGGGTTCTCACACAATTAACAATGATGTTATGTTTGATACTTATTATTGTAAGTCACCCTTAGAAGGCACTCAGGAACAAGACTTGAACGAGAACTCTAAGGTACCTGGGAAAGAATTGATGTTTAGGACACCGGTAGTAGGCTTGGAATTACCAAATGTTGAACTCCTATTCGTCGACGGCAAACACCGAGATTACTTTAGGTTCGTCAGACAGTTTGAGACGTTTATAGAACCCAGAGTAAGGGATGATAATTTGCGTTCATTATATTTAATTCATTACTGTAAAGGAAAAGCAAGAAATGCGATTGAAGGTTGCCTTATAATGGAACCACAAGTGGGATGTAAAAGAGCTAAAGCTATTTTAAAGCAGCTCGTTGAACAGTCGCACGTGATAGCCCGTTAAACTCTGGAGGCCTTGTTTAGAACTGGAAATGCGGAATACAATGACCCAGAAAAATTGATGGAATTAGCAATTAAAATGCAAAACGTTGCTCTAACCTTAGAACAGTTAAATTGTATTGCAGAACTAAATTCTCCAGTAACTTTAGTACGAATAGTTAGGCTCTTACCTCATCTAATGCAAGCTCAGTGGGCGGAGCTGGGAATTAAGTGGGACGAAGAGGAAAGAGAAACTAATTTCAATGAATTGACCGATTTTATTATGTCTCGTGCTAAGATAGCTAGTAGTAGATTCGGAAGATTAGCTAATCGCGCTAAAACAGGACATAGTACGGAAGCTATTAGTGATCTGCGTGCGAGACATCAGAAAACTTCGTTTACACCTAACTCACACCCGGAATTTAAGAGAGTTGTTAATTGTATCAGAAAGGTATACCCTGTTGAAAACCGAGTATGTGACCCCGATGGTTTAAAAACCCGTGATGCTTATCCTAGTAAGAATCCGGTTTGTGTAGCAGATAAGATGGCTTTCTTAAGTATGGAAAATAAAGAAAAAGGCGAAAAGGGTAGGCATCAGGATGGATCCGAGGTGTGTGATGGTAAAAGCCCCTTAACTTCTCGAAAAGCAAGGAACGGTTATTTGGATTCGAGCAAACAGAGGTTAGTGAGTACAGTGAATATGAATATGGACAAAACAGGTTTGGCTGTATGGAATAAAGCTTATGTTTGGAACCCTTCATGTAGGGTAAATTATTTGACTCGACCTAGAGTTGATCCTTGGAGAACAAGCGTAAATAGTGACACAGCACTTCATGTTGCTGAGCAAACAGGATGTCTGCGGGCTACTGTATCTAGTTCTACGGAGCATCATCATACGGAAGCGGAAGATAATAGCAGCTTAGCGCGTCCTGCTGATGTTTGTTTACGATCAACGGATGGACGGTTGTATACTGGTCCAAGTAGTCATAGCAACACTGATAGTGTTAGTGAAAGTGGTAGCATAGCTTTAAAGCCGACATGCCAACTATCCCGCAACTCGTCATTAACTGGGAACATCATTGTGGACAACAATAACGTCAAAGTGAAGGGGAAACCTCATGAATCTATTAAAAGCGTAGTTGATGTGAGTAATAAACGTGATGGTAACGATAGTGGAATCACTATAAGTAGTGCTGTTTCTTCGGTTGATGTTGCTAATGTAGCTTCTTTGAGTACTACGGATCAAGACGAAATTGGATGTTTGAGCGCGGAGGATGTAGGCGTTGGTGGCAATAGCTTTAGCCACAGTGATGGCAGTACTGTGAGGGCTAACATTCGGTACCCTAGGTGCAATGAGGAGTCATCTAGGTTTAATGGACATGCTGTCGTGTTGAATATGCAGGATGAGGAATCGAGCATGGATTTGTCCACCTGTCGCACTCCACCATCATTGACCTGTACTACAAGCTTCGGGATGAGCACTACCAACAGTGATAAGATAAAAGAGACTAAGAGAATTCCTAGTAAGGAAGGCAATGTTGATCGAGTGGAGTTAGCAACTGTGCATGAGTCGAATGAATGTCATGAGAAGTGTACTACTGCTTGTATGGCTGCAGCTACTAATGATAATAGCATTGATGATACTCCTGCGAGTAATAGTGATCGACGGAAGTTGAAAGACACTCATCGTCGTCGAAATGATCGTACGTTACGCTCACATACTGCTACCCAAGCTAAGAAGCATAAGAAACGACATCATGCTACTATTATTAAGAAGCCTAAACTTCGTTCTTTTTCGGATGCTGTGACTAGCAATGGAGATAGTAGTCATCAGAATCTTAGTAGTGACAGCGATAGTAAAGAGACAGAAAGTGTGAGTAGTCCACCTATAGTGACTAGTCGAACAACTTCATCGAACGAAACTTCTAGTGATTTGACGTCATCGGACTCTGCCGCGAATGCTAAGTTGAATGAGGATACACAAGGTTGTGTTACTGTAAGTGTTCCTACTTCGGTCGAATGTCAGTCAAGTGATGATGAGAAGGAAGCGTCTGATGGTAACAGCCAGTCTACAGTGTTGCGTGATAACGATGCTATTGATGTGCATATGTCTTGTGTCTCTGAAACGGAACATGAAGAACAACAAGTTAGTTTATCGGTTTTGGATTGCGATACTAAAGCTGTTCTTTCATGTAGCGAGATGTGTTATACAACAATGGAAGAGTTTCACTCTACGGATGCTAGTGCAGCCAGAGACGACGTGACTTGTCTGACAGAACGGAATCATGATGACGATGATAATAATCCGGATGTCACTGATGTGACAAATGAGTTGCCGACGATAACGAATGCTGATCAAACCTCCTGTGTATCAGGAGATGGAGAGTTAGATATTGGTCCCATGTAATGCCACTTAAAGTCTTCGGGAGACGAGTAAATATAAAAATTGGAGATCCCACCCTTGCATATTATCTATGGGTCAAGAACGTCTGTTGATAAGTCAGCATCACTGACTTCATTGTATCTGCCGTTCGGAGCAAGTGGTGGTGGATTG